AAGTGTAAGAGTTGACTCGTAAGAGTAACTTTTGTTTCAGAACACACACTTTACATGATTATGTTATGAGTTGTACTGATAGAGGGACTGCACTTGTACACAAGGGAACTTTACAACCTCCCTTTCCCTTGGCAAAGACACCGGATTCCTGCACGTCTTTCTAGAAGTAACAACTGTAAGCCTTAACCTGCAAACTACACAGCTCACAAGTCAATGTCTGGAGGGTTAAGTGAGACAGGTAACCAGCCATGGTGCAGGAATGAGGTTAACATCCACCAAACAAAAACACAAGTACACTGAAACTACTTACTTGAAAACATTGTTGTGGAACTTGTTGTAACTTCCCATGGCCACCAAGGAACCAAAGCCAATTCCAAGAGAGTAGAAAATCTGAGTTGCAGCTGCAACCCACACCTATACAAAAGAACATCTGACTTAACAAAAAGGTTTTGTTTTATATGCGCCCTGGACTGAAGATCACCGTCAGCATCTCAGGTTTGTATACACATCTCACTTGCAATTTCAGAAAAACTAGTTTATTAATTTTACTAATCAATGAACTATTGACTTGGATATAAAAATCTTGTCTGTTTGATGAGAGACAGTTCCCTCACATGTCCCTGGTGTATGTGAAACTACATTATTTCACTGTAGGGTACCACGAGATAAAAATTTTAGTAAAAACGTTTCCTAATTTTGCAACAAAATTTGACAGCAATTACAATTAGCATTGCATTCCTTATGAAGGACTTACATCTCTTGATGCCCCATGCTTTTAATGGTTCAGGTTTTAAAGTATCAGAGAGTTAATAGAATGAAGCAAAATTTAAGGGAATGGTCAATTAAGAGCAATCCAAATTGGATCCATGGCTCGAATCATCACACAAGTAGCATTTACCAACCTTGGGATCCTTGAGACGATACCACTGAGGGCTCAAATAGTAAATTATCCCTTCTTTAGCATTTGGAAGTGTGACTCCACGGATAAACAGAAGAAAAAGCACTACATAAGGAAATGTTGCTGTGAAGTACACAACCTATACAGAGGAGAAGTAAAATTGTTTTAGTTGATATTTTCTTAAAGCAGTATTAAATTTTCATTTAAAGAAATTTATTTCAACCCAACGTCACCTTTCCAGACGACTTGACCCCTTTCCACATACAGAAATACACCCCAATCCAAGCAGCTAGCAAACAAAGCAATATCTCCCATCTAAAAACTCCAGCATCCCCAATGCTGTCTGTTAAACGCAAGACATAATCTCTGCAAGAAAAAGAGAACAAATAAAAAATACTGCAAGTTAAGAAACAATTTCCAATACACATGCAATGACACAAAAAGAGGAAAATCTACCCTGCCACAAACATGTAATTCACCAAAAGAAACAACAAAGAATGAATCACTACTCACTGCCAGTACTCCAGAGCTGGAGAACTAAAATCATCTGCTGTTGCCTTTGTGCAGTTTTTGAGTGTTGAATTAGCAAGTGCAGCAGTGCTATTTGCAAGGAAAACTGTGCTATTAGAAAGGCCAGAAGAACAGTTTTTCATGTCTGGAATCCGCCCAGCATAACACTTCTCACTATTCCACCAATTGTCGCATGTCTTCCAGGGTACATCTTTGCGAAACGACAAAAAGAGGAAGTAAAGACACCAAGCAATGATGATATTGTAGTAAACACAAACCAAGAAAGACACCATCATGCTCGCAAATCCAACACCTGAATAGCAAAGAAAAAAAAAAAGAGAAATCAGGACATTAAGTACATCACAAACTATGTTTTACCACATACTTCAAGTTAAGTCACCATTATGTAGGCATGGTGGCCCTTTCAGAAAAGGAGCCCTACCCTAATGTCTTTACCAAAAAATTTTGACCTTTAATAACTGCAGGGCTTGAAACTAACTTTTCAACTCACTAGCCTTTAGGCTAGATTTTACTAGCCAACTTAGATTTTACTAGCCAAAATTTTTTTTTACTAGCCAAGGGCTGATGTTGACCAGGTCCAATAACAGCAGAATTACTATCAAGATTTGACAGCACGATGCAAGTGAAACCCTTTCATACATAATGTTCATAATTACATTTTACACACACCAGGTCCTTGTGAAATGTAACATGTTTAAGATGTTTTGTTACAGGAAAGAAATCAGTTAAGCTGCTCTGAAGGTTCTAAGATTTGATTCTTCAGACCATGTTTAAACCAGTTCCAATTATATGACAAGAACGATATTTTGTGAGATGCCACATGATTAGCCAGATAATACTGGAATTCAGATGAAATCAGTTCAGCGACAAAAGATTTAGATGTTCCATTATCCAGATGGTTTTACTACATGGTAAAAAATTAAAGGTTCAATTAATCCATGAAAGTTGGCCACTTAGCCCTCTCCCCAGAGTCAAGCCATGTGGCAACAGCAAAGGAGGAGTGACAATCTGTTGGTGATCCACCACTTAGAGAGATTATCATCAGTGCATCAACAGTCATAATATCAATTATTACAACTCGGGCAGTCAGAGGGCCAATAACTAAAATCAACCAATCAAAATGCTCTATTGCC